TTTTGGACTTTATATCCTAATTTATACACAAGGAAGGGAAAACGAAGAGACAGAAACAAAGAACGAAAAGTGGTGAAATTAAAAACAAAACAATTTGTAATTTATGACAATTTGTATTTTTCAAAATTTGAATGAAAAAGTTGCCAGGTGAAAAACAAAAATGGTGGTCAGGGCAAAAAACATTAAATAAAAGATGAATGACTTTTCTGCAAGAAAATGGTTTTAAAAAAAATTTTTTTAAAAATTAACATTTTCTAACAAATTTTGTTTAAGAACAAAAGAAATTTTTTTTTTTTTAAGCTTGTTTAAAAATGCTGTGTATAATCCCAGCTGCCCTCTTGTGCACAAAAAATACATGAAAGATTTGATGCAATAATGAAAAATAGTGGAAGGAAGAGGTACAAAAGCTGAAGAATTATTGACATTGCCAATTACAAAAGTCCTGTGATCATAACTGTACATCAGGTTCAAGTCCCTCATCTCCAGTCACCCACGTTTTTTTTTTTTTTTTTTTTTTTTTTTTCAAATATGAATCATTTTTTCCCAAAAATGCCTGGAATCTAACACAAATTCTTCCATTTTTATTTGCTATTTTCTTAAAGATTTCCAATTATAAAATTAATAATTTCATTTTTTTTATAACTTTTTTTTTTTTTTTTTTTTTAAGAGTATTGGTCAAAATGAGTTTTGCATCAATTGCCAAAGCAATTTTTTTTTTTTTTTTTTTTTTGAAAATAACATTCTTTTAGACTCAGAACTCAACACCCATACAGGTCGCACAAGATAGGAAAAAGAAAATTGTCTTTGAATATTTTAAGGAAAGACCATATGTACAACACTTTCCCCAAGTGGCTTTCAGTCATGAAGACAGTATGAATCCATTAAAACAAATTCAGAATCTGCTACTTTCTGAGACTAATTTTGGCTTTTAGCTTCAGTTTTTAGTTCATTTTCATAGATTTTCTTTAAATTTTGTTTTTCTATCCAGGAATGCAAGTAGAGAACTGGATTCCTTTAAGCCTGAACTTGAATGTTTCAATGATGGAAACTTGTACATGCATAGAATAAATACAAATTAACCAGTACAGTTAAGCCTCTTATCTTTCACAGGTCATTCACAAGTTTGCCATCAATAATTGAAATAAATAGGAAATCTTTTAGTTTCCTTGCCTACTGCAGAGAAAAACAAAATTGCAGACAATGCATGTAGACTAGAAAATTTCACAAACACATACGTGCAACAAAAAAAAAAAAAAAGAAAAAAGAAAATTAAAGAAAAATAAAACAAAAAAAAATAATGGACACGTTTGTAAGTCAGAAATGCATACAATGCTTGAGCAATTACATTTAAGGTGTGTTTTGCTTTTGTTTTTTTTTAACATTCTGTTGACGGGAAAACAGACACCCACTGTTAATGTATATACATCTCATTTTGCAAATCCAGTAAAGTACTTTTTTTTAATTTCATTTATTTCTTAGAACAGATAAATTTTAAATAACTTTGCAATAATAAATTAACGACACAGCTGTCATGGTATAATAATAGACAAAAAGAAAAATTTAAATGTAAAAACTAATTTAATAATTACCTAGCTAAATGCAAAAAGCAAAATTATACTATCTTTTTTTTTCAAACTCTTTTTAACATGTGCACTAAACATCCTCTACAGCATTAACAGTTCAGGTGTGTTTTTTCTTACTGTCACGCGAGTTCTGTGCCCCTTAACTTCCAGAGAGGGTTGATGATATAATATATAGTATTTCACTATAATTTCATAACAAACTTGGCACGCAGACTATCAGAAGTACAATCTCCATTTGGCGACCAGCTGCTACAAGCTCATGCAAGAAGGGATTTTTTTTTTTTTTTTTTAACAAACCTGGAAAATGTGGATGACCAACCATATTAGCTTTGTATCACAGGAGACCAATTCGTAGCAGCAACAAATATGGCCAAGGAATCAAGAGCTGACATCACTGTTGGTCTCATAAGGGTTCTGACTTCGCACCTTTACTTCTTTGCATGTACACATATGATCAACCCAAACTAGGTTTGAGCAAAATATTTCTTTCTTCCCCCTACCCACTCTATGCTATATTTTATATCTGCCTTCCACAGTATAAATGCTACCAAATGTTACAAAAAAAAATTTTTTAATATCACACACTAACCTGAGGTTAATCAAACATAAAAATAAAAATTTCAGAAGTATTGAAGCACAATACACTGACCAATTACTAATCATAATAATAACCTAAAACTAACATTTAGTAAAGAAATTGCATTTATACTTAAAAAAAATTTAAAACGAAATAAAAAAAATTCAAAAAACAAAAAAATTCAAAAAATAAAAAAAAATTTTAAAAATTAAAACATTAAAAAAATTAAAATCAATAAAAACTTATACAGTTAATTTAATCTAAAATCAAATTGCTATTAGCAGCTTAAAATGAGCATTAAATATAAACTTTGCTAAATTTATGCACTACTCTATATTGCTTCACCAAGTTAGAATCTACCTTAGGTTAGAATTAAAGATTGACAAAACTGTATATGAGGAAAAAATGTGTTGGGATCTCTAAGGATAAGAATAGTTGTATGTACATACAAGAATACATCAAGAAAAGAATAATTTCTATAATGGGTATATGTACAAATATATATAAAAAAAAAAAATAAAATAAAAAAAAAAAAAAAAATAATAAAAAAAAAAAAAAAAGATTAATATATGGAAAAAGTGTTCCAATAACTTGCACTGATTTTAAATGTGAATTAAGTTTAAAACCAGTCCAAATTTATTGGAACACCCTTTATATGCTTGAGTGGGGGTATGTATGTACATTTATCTACAAGTATATACATGACACCCCCACCTACCCACAAAAAAACAATTTCAATGGACTGATCTAAAAACCAATAGATGTTAAATCTCTCTCTGTGTGTGTGTGTGTGCAAATATATAGACAAATAGGAAAGAACCGTTAGGTTAATAATCTAAAGTTCTTTAGTATTTTTGTTTTTTATTCTTAAAAAAAACAGTGCTCAATACACAAGTAGAGCCTAAATTGTAATTATTTTTTTTTGCTTGAGGTTGAAACAGAGTTGGGTACTTTAATTCAATTTGATTTCTATAATTGAATTGAAATTTTTAGCTTCTGTTTTTGAAACACGAGAACTCTTATGTAGCAATGGAATCATATTTAAAAAAAAGAAAAAAAATAATTATATATATATATATATATATATATATATATATATATAAAAAAACAAAAAGGCAGAATCTCTCTTGAGCCTGGACATTGCATGTGATAAGGTAATTTGATTTATGGTCCCCACTTATTGTCAGAGATACCAATGCATTTCTACTCACACAGTTTTGTCAGTCTTTCATTCTAACCTAAGGAAGCCAAAGAGAGCAGTTGCTGTGTGTGAAATGTGTTTATAGATTTTCCACTTTGTCTCCTCATAAACACACATTACTCTATATGCACATATGTATCCTTGTGTACACTCATGTGTGTTTATATATATGTATGTATGTATGTATGTGTGTGTGCATACATACACCCTCCCCACCAGACAGGAAAAAGTAAGAATGCTGGAAAAACTACATAATAAATAATTAAATTTTTCTTGTCTGTCATATTTAATGAAACATGTTTAAAAGAAAGGTTGCTAACCAAGTGTGTGTGTGTATATATATATATATATATATATATATATATATATATACACATACATACACACACACTTCAAATGTTATTATAGTGGACACTTTGCATTTGAAATAGACACTCCATTTTTATTTATTAAACAGTGTGTATTAAGTCTATGGCCTGCATGTGTACTAATTCTTTACAACTCATATATATATATTACACACACACACACATGCCAAAAATTTCATGTGCATGTAAATGTTTATATATGCATAGATGAAGGTACACCCAAACAATTTTAAATGTTAAAATGTGGCAACTGAAGATTAAAAAAACAAAAAAAAAAAGAACTCATAATCTCATAAATAATCCAAGATATTGAAACTAAAATTATTATCAACAGAAGAGAGCATTAAAAAGAACTTCATATTTAAACTGCTTCATCTTAATTCTCAGACCAGATAAACAAGGAAATCCGGTCTTTAAGAAATTCCACTGAAAGCATTTAACTTGAATATTTACAATTTTCTTACTCTACATATGAACTTTTAACAGTTTTAAAAATATTGAATAGTCGTCTCAAAGATGTAATTTGTGTTTTAAATCCCTGATTAGATTTAAAAACACAAGTGTAAATTTCTTATTGAAACAATTTTTTTTTTTTAAAGCAATTAATAGCAAAGAGATCAAATGACTAAATTTGTCATAAGAGGGGAAAAAAAAAAAAAAAAAACGATGACCTTCAACAAAGAATAAGAGAGAAGTGATTATGACAATACACTAACGGGATTTCCAAATTCTTATTAAATCTAAGAGCTTTGTTTTATATACAAGCTCAAAATGCCATGTATGCCATCATAAGTTTTCTGAAAGAAAAATAAAATAAAATCTGACACAATTTCTTTTAAAAATGACAAGTTGTTATGAAAATTATACATTTTATATTATTCCCAGAGTTGTTCAAGCTGCTGATAGCATTCTTTTTATTGCTTCTTTGTGTTTCCAGATTCTGGTCTATCCATTCTACCAGAGTGAGAGAGAGGAAAAATATGGGGATATCTTTGCACTTTTGCTCTTTCAATGTTTTAGGGCATATCAAGGGAAAGAGGGACAGGGAAAGGCAGCAGGTTACTTACCTGACAAGTTTGCGTGAACATATGGCGGAAATGGGATGGAAGGAGGTAGCCTTAGCAATGGGACAAATGTTGCTAATGGCTTTAAGGGATAGGAGGAGGTTGTGGAGAATCATGATCACCCACGTCCTGAACTGGACACAGAACATAGACAAAGGGTCTATGAATATCAATTAAGAAAAAAAAAAAAATAAATAAATAAAAATT